CATTCATTTTAGCATGTTTTCATCACCTTGTGTTCATATAAGCCACACTTGCTTTGTTAAAAGAGCTTAGTGATTATCTAAGGGAGTCCAAAAACTGTTACAAAAATCACATAAAAATACATAACTCATATAATACAATGTCCATATCCCCAGATAGCTTGGATCTGAGCGCTCAATATGTCCGAACAGCGCTCAGATATTACGAATACAGTTGAATCGCCATGTGGTTAAAGTTGTCTCTTTTGACCAACCGCAAGCATGGCTTTCATGCCCAAAATTGTTCCACAGATTTAGGCTGTGCAGCCAGTCTATGTCCAATGTTAAAAGTGCCCTATAGTACAAGGAAGGGTGGGGTCAGACAATAGCAAGGGCTGATGAGAGATTGAGGAGGGACAAAGCAGACAGTTTCAACTGGTCTGGCAGTTTCCCTGGGAAAAACACCCTACTGGAGAACAATAGGACAGGAAAAAGGGGCAGGGGAAGAGGCACATTTTCCCATGGAAGTCACTTTTTAGCATGTCTTTTTGCAGGGCCCATAGTCACAGGGCAGGAGGTTGGCAAGCAGGCCCCTCCAAAAACTCATGGTAAACTCCCTAAAAGACGGGAGTTTGTCACACCACGTACTCCCCCGATCCCTGCAGGGTGTCCTACGCTATTCAGCTACAACATGTGGATGGTCCAAACTGAAGGCACCAGTGATACAGAGAGCCCCATCACTGGCTTACTTGAGGGGCTAAGATGTCAGGCAGGACTTTCTTGATCAATGTTATTCTATCTGTCCACAGGACAATCACTCATTGCCAGAAAGAGGGGGCTTCCTGGAGGTTTCATTCTAAGCCAACGCTAAGTAATCTCTCAGACATTTCCTAATCTATTTTTTCATGTTATATCTCAACTTGTTCTCTGCTTACTTACCTCAAATTCTCAAGCCTAGCACTGTGCCAACTCTTTCTTGCTTTAAAATAAAACCTATATATGTGTTGCCTCATACATATACATTGCTTGCATGACAATCTATGGTTGACCATGTATTATCCAACATGTCATTATTGTACCTACTGAGCACTTAAAAAATAAAGATTTTTTTTTAAATAGGGGGCATCTCATACACAAAAATATACAGTAATTTGTCTTTTTTCCTTACCTGTTTACTTTCATTGTATTGAGAAAACATTCAAAAACATTTCAATTATGAAATGCTACAAATTCAGAAACATCATTTATTTAAAACACTGTTTATCTGACACTTTATTATTTAGCAAATAATTTTTAGATAATTCCTGCCCATAAATGAAAGTCAACAAGTATATGCATTTCTTTGTGATTAAATATAGTGCTCTCATATTTAAACAGCCAAGGAAGACTACACAATACTCTCCTGAACACAAATGCATACAGGATTCCAGTATTTGATGGTCAGTTTCTTAAAACATGGTTTGTAGTAAAGAAAAGCCATGGTTATGAGACCAAGAGTGCCCTGGCACATCTCAATGTATATAGTCAAACTGTTGACCATTTCCAAAATGTAGTAATCAATCGACTTCTTGCATTCCACTGCAATAATACCTGCCTGCTTTTAGCCTTCAGAAGAGTTAGAAGAACCCAGTGCTTGTCAGCACCACCTCCTTCAGTGCTTCTCCAGCTGCCATACAGTCCAGGAAAATTTACCTTGGCAGAACATTACAGGTTGAGACCACCAGCTGATATACTTATCCTGTGAATAAAAGTATTTATGTATTCTGACTTTCTGTGGACAGTCTGTGATAGGCTGAGTGCACCGGCTGACTCTCTTAGCCTATCACTGGCCACCAAGGCAAATCTTTCTGAACTGTACAGCAGTTCAAGGAGGAGACAGGCGGCAATGCTATCAGGAGCTCAGAGAACAGTTTAACAATAAACCATTAAAATGGGGTTTAGCTCCAGAATTTAAGACAGTGCCGAGTGACTCCAATTTCCACAGCAACTTCATTGAGATGGAGTTGCTATTAAAGCTAATGTCATCTGGGAGTGTACCTTTAATTCCACAGCTTCATCAATAATACACTCCTATCAGAACACTAGCACAAAACATTACTTACCACTGTGAGCATTCAAACCTGACATCTTGTTCTACATTATTGAAGTGGAAATATTCAACAACAAATTATTAAAGACATCTTCCGTGTTCTCTCTGGCATGAAATTGCAATTTCTCCCTGTAACAATAGTGTTCTGCCAACTAATTTCAATTCTGAATAATTATAATTTAACGCTTCTGGCTTGTTAATCTTTATCTACTTAGTTCTGATATTCATAACGTATCTTGTTAGAAGCTATTGCACCAATATTGTCTCTGAGACAATTAGCTCTGTTTGTAAAAGCTTTTGTTAAAATTGAAACTTTGAATAAGTATTGCCACTTAAATGACAGCATGAACCGTAGCAGGCATGCCAGTGCATCTCGGTGATTGATTTGTCAAGGCGTGGTGCCCAGCACAGTTCAAACAAGGCAAATATAAAACTCTCATGGATAAATCTGTCACACTTTTAGATGATTTGCATGAGAATACTGACATACAGAAAATTTAGGTTAAAGAGAAACTATAGTCAACAATACAACTTTAGCTTAATGAAACAGTTTGGGTGTATAGATCATGCTTCTGAAGTCTAACTGCTAAATTCTCTGCCATTTATGAGTTAAATCTTTTGTTTCTGTTCATGCAGACCTAGTCACACCTACCCTGGCTGTGGCTGATAAAGCATGCATGGAAAAAAATGGTTTTGTTTTCAATCAGATGTTAACTTACTTTTGAAGTTTTGCCCCTGCTGTGTTAAGTGAACTTTAATCACACACAGGAGGCTCCTGCAAAGTCTAGCAAGCTATTAACAGTGTAGGAAATAATACATTCTAAATTACATCGACTGTGCAATAAAGGAAGTGTAAACATTAGATCTCACATTACTGGAAATGTTTAGGGAGGCTGTACACATTACATGCCGGGAGGTGTGCTTAGGGCTGCATAAACAAACATGTTTTAACTCCTAACTAGCAGAGAATTGAGCAGATAGAAAGCCTAGGGTATGATCTGTACACCAAAACTACTTCATTAAGTAAAGTTGTTTTGGTGACAATATTATCTCTTTAATGCCATGTAGCTCATTTTTTAAAGTATGTGTCAACCAAATTTATTTTCTGTGAATATATTAAAGATTCATTTTATTTTTGCAAAATTGGCATGCAGTGTATATTTTTCCTGTTATAAGTAATTTATTACCTAGCTGTAACTTCACTCATAACACAGGATGATCAGACCCGCTTTGTAAACTAACAAACACTATCATAAGTGGCAACAAATGCAAATATGCTTCTGCGATCAACTCTTTTGCACAGGGAACTCTCACAAAGAAGTAGGACAGTTATCTTTTTTATCATAGTAATTTATTTCTATTAATGCATCTTCCATGTTATTTGGTGACATATTAAAAGCTATACATTTTATCTATACATTGTGCTCGCCAAATTGCTAAGATTGTTTAGTTAAAACGTTCAAATTGTTAAACCCCACACCAAGTAATTCTGTGGTATTTCAGAACTCCTGTCTTTCACCTAGGGGTGAGTGGCTTCATTGAGAGATACTCCATTAATCCCAACGTGCACTGCTGTGTATGAATTGATCAATCTTTACGTTTTTAGACAATTTGTAGTTTATTTATACTAGAAGGCAGTGGCGTACATACCAGGGTCCCGGTATGTAGCCACAGGGCCAGCCTCTTCCCCTGGGGGGCCCAGGAGCCGGCCACCCCAGGGCCCCCCGAGGCTGGCCCTGCTGTCACCGGGAAGGCGGGTGGCCGGTCGGGCAGGCAGGCGCGCGAGGGAGCACTCAGTGCTTCCTCTTCCACTCCCTTGCGCACCGCACTGATACTGGAGCCAGAAGATGACGTCATCTTCCGGCTCCGGCATCCCTACACGGCGCGCGAGGGAGCAGAAGAGGAAGCACTGAGTGCTCCCTCGCGCGCCCGCCCGACCGGCCACCCGCCTGCCCAGGAGCCCAGCAGCACCACTGCACCCCAGGGAATAATCCCCCCAGCACTCCAAAAGGTAAGGAGGCTGGGGGGATTACATTTAAAAAAACAAAAACATGTGTTAGTGTTAGTGTTTGAGTGTGTGTGAGTGTTAGTGTGTGAGTGTTAGTGTGAGGGTTAGTGTGAGTGTTAGAGTGAGTGTTAGTGTGTGTGTCTGCTAGTGAGTGTTAGTGTGAGTGTTAGAGTGAGAGTGTGTGTGTCTGCTAGTTAGTGTGAGTGTTAGTGTGTGTGAGTGTTAGAGTGAGTGTGAGTGTTAGTGTGTGTGTCTGCTAGTGAGTGTGAGTGTTAGTGTGTGTGAGTGTTGTGAGTGTTAGTGTGTGTGTCTGCTAGTGAGTGTCAGTGAGTATGTTACTGTGTGTGTCTTACTGAGTGTGTGTGTGTTAGTGAGTCTGTTTGATGTCTGTTAGTGAGTGTGTGTTTGTCAATGAGAGTGTATGTTTTGTGAGTGTGTATGTATGTCTGTCGCTGACTGTGTCTCTGTCAGTAAATGTGTGTGTCTGTTAGCTAGTGTGTATGCGTCTGTAAGTGTGTGTGTGTGTGTCTTCAGCACTTACCTTTCTCCAGCGCCGGACTCCCTTGGCGCTGAGGATCCCTCAGCCTCTCAGCTCCGAATGCGACCGCGCACGCATTCAAACCGCCCATAGGAAAGCATTACTCAATGCTTTCCTATGGACGTTCAGTGTGCTCCTCTAGCGGCTGTCCGTGAGACAGCCACTAGAGGCAGGATTAACCCTCAGTGAAACAGCAGTTTCTCTGAAACTGCAATGTTTTCAGCTGCAGGGTTAAAAAACTAGAGGGACGTGACACCTAGACACAACTTCATTGAACTGATGTGATCTGGTGTTCAGTGGTCCTTAACCCCTTTAAGGACCAAACTCTGAATAAAGGGAATCATGACATGTACACATGTCATGTGTCCTTAAGGGGTTAGGATTATAGTGCCAGGAAAACATACTCGTTTTCCTGGCACTATAGTTCCCTGAGGGTGCCCCCACCCTCAGGGACCCCCTCCCGCCCGGCTCTGGAAAGGGGAAAAGGGGTAAAACTTACCTTTTTCCAGCGCTGGGCGGAGAGCTCTCCTACTCCGATCCTCCTCTTCTCCTCCCCGTCGGCTGTATGCGCACGCGCGGCAAGAGCTGCGCGCGCATTCAGCCGGTCACATAGGAAAGCATTCATAATGCTTTCCTATGGACGCTGGCGTGGTCTCACTGTGAAAATCACAGTGAGAGGACAGCCGCTAGAGGAAATAGGGGAAGGCTTAACCCATTCAGAAACATAGCAGTTTCAGAGAAATGGGTTAACCCTAGCTGGACCTGGCACCCAGACCACTTCATTAAGCTGAAGTGGTCTGGGTGCCTAGAGTGGTCCTTTAAGTGTGTGTGCATCTGCATGCACTGGCGTACATACCGCGGTCGCAGCCCTGTAACCTCTGCGACCAGGTGCCCACCGTCATGTGTTGCGGCCCAGCCTGCGCGCGGGAGGGGGGGGCCCACGGATCAAATTTCGCACCGGGGCCCCATGGGTCATGTGTACGCCACTGCTAGAAGGTGATATTACCATCCACTCAATAACTGGATAAGAACTTGAATTTGAGCTAAAGATAATATATTAAAATGATTTATGTGACGGGCGGAGTCAGGTACCGTTGCAGCTCAGACGCCATATTCTGCTGCTCTGAGACCCGGTATGTAGTTTTATTCTGCTCCCCATGAGCGTACACCCTTCCTTTAAATATATGTGTCTATGGATTACTGTCACCACCTCCCACAATGTCACCATCCAAAACATTGTCAACATCCCCCCACACTTACTGCCTCCCACATTGTCACCACCTCCCACACTATCACCACCTTCCACATGGTCACCATCCCCACACTGTCATCACCTCCCACAATGTTACCATCCAAAACACTGTCACCACCTCCCACACTGTCACCACCCCACAAACTGTCACCATCCAAAACACTGCCACTATCCCCCCAAACTGGCTTCACTTCCCACATGGTCACTCTTCCACCACACTGTCACCTTTCCCCCAACACTATCACCACCTTCCACAATGTCACCATCTGAAACACTGCCACCACCTCCCTCACTGTCACAACCTCCCACACTGTCACTCCCCCTAAATTGTCATCATCCTCACACTGTCACCACCTCCCATACTGTCACTATCCACACACTGTCACCACTTCCCACACTGTCACTGTCACCACCTTCCAAATTGTCACCAACCCCCAAACTGTCACCATCCCCACACACACCATCCCACACACACCATCAGCCTCCCACACACATTGTCACCCTCCCACACTAATCACTGGAAAGGCTGGGGCAGAGACATGGTACAGAGAGGCTGGGGCAGAGAGATGGCACATAGAGGCTGGTGGCAGAGACATGTGGCAGAGAGGCTGGGGTCAGAGAGATAGCACAGAGAGGCTGGTGACAGAGAAACGGCACAGAGAGTCTAAGGGCAGAGGCATGACACAGAGAGGCTGGGGCAGAGAGATGGCACAGAGAGCCTAAGGGCAGATAGATGGCACAAAGAGGCTGGTGGCAGGAAGATAGCACAGAGAAGCAGGTGGCAGAAGAAAAGCACAGAGAGGCTAAGGGCACTGTCACAACCTCCCACACTGCCACCCCCCTAAATTGTCATCATCCCCACACTGTCACCACCTCCCATACTGTCACTATCCCCACACTGTCACCACCTCCCACACTGTCACTGTCACCATCCCCCCAAACTGTCACCATCTCCACACCATCACCATCCAACACACACCGTCACCCTCTCACAAACACCGTCACCCTCTCACACACACCGTCACCCTCCCACACACACCGACACCATCCCCACACACACCATCACCCTCCCACACACACTTTCATCCTCCCACACACACTGTCACCCTCCCACACACACTGTCACCCTCACTGGAGGCAGAGAGAGGCTAAGGGCTGAGACATGGCACAGAGAGGCTGATGGTAGAGAGAAGGCACAGAGAGGCTGGTGGCAGAGACATGGAACAGAAAGGCTGGGGTGAGAAAGATAGCACAGAGAGGCTGGGGGCAGAGACATGGCACAGAGAGGCTGGTGGCAGGGAGATAGCACAGAGAAGCAGGTGGCAGAAAAAAGGCACATAAAGGCTAATGGCAGAGAGAAGACACAGAGAGACTAAGGGCAGAGCGATGGCACAGATAGGCTAAGGGTAAAGACATGACACAGAGAGCCTGATGGCAGAAAGATGGCACAGACAGTCTAAGGACAGAGACATGACACAGAGAGACTGGGGCAGAGAGACGGCACAGAGAGGTTAAGGGCAGAGGCATGTTGCAGAGAGGCTGTGGCAGAGAGATGGCACAGAGAGGCTGGTGGCAGAGAGATGGCACAGAGGGGCTGGGGTCAGAGCGATAGCACAGAGAGGCTAATGGCAGAGACATGGTGTAACGGATCGCCTGGCACCCCGACTGGGTACCTCCGTTAAAGGATGCTCCTAGCGCTTCCTGAGGACTCCAAGCACTGCAGCAGACACCACAACCACCGAACCGGAGAATCATATGAATCCTCTCAAGCATATGAATGCTGTAGACAGTTGAATAGGAACCATACGAATAGGTTTACTCTCCTAGCAGTCAAACTGGAACAGCATACAATAAATCCTCCCCCAATAATGAGACGACACTTCACTTTGAGGGTTAAGCAGGAACTCCCTGTACTGTCACATACAGTCTCTTTTATTCCCAATCCACAAACATAGTACAGCCAACAGGGCGTTACAAAACAACCAATCACATCACAGTTACATCCCACATATTCCCTCCCCTTATCCTGAGAGGAAACTCAATTATACATACAGTTAAAACATACTTTCTACCCAACTTTCATAACTCCAAAACCATACATCACATTCACATAAAATTACATATTCACAATCAATCCATTCAGGGGAACAACATATTCAAAAATGGCACAAATCAGACAAGGGGTTCAAAAGTTAGTAAAAAGTCCTTTGTGACTAAATGAAGCATAGCTTTCTGGCCCAAACCAGTTTCAGAGTCTTCTATCCTGGAGATAAGTAATTCAATTATCTCCCAGGACAGACACAAGACTCCATTAAGCACATGGTTGCAAAAAGACACAAAAAACACTTTAAAATACATAAAGTCACATTTACACATAACACACAGACATTTCACATATCCCCAGATAGCTGGGATCTGAGTGCACATTATTAGATGAATGGCACTCAGATCACACAAATAAGCCTTTCTGCAGGGGAAATAAACGGTTTAACCTGCAGGGCCATAGTCCAAAGGGAGCAGGCGAGCAACCAGGCTTCTCCAGTTCACAGTGGCGAGGTTGGTTTCGCCACACATGGCACAGAGAGGCTTGTGGTAGAGAGATGGCACTGGCAGGTTGTTTGGGGGCACATGGCACTAGTAGACTTTTGGGGGCACATGTGGCTCATTGGCAAGATACAAAGTTTAATAATTTACTGCTCATTGGCATGATATACCAAGTTTATGCATTTACTTCTCATTGGCATGACATACCTAGTTTATGCATTTAATGTGAATTGACATGGTATATGAGGTTTACGCATTTACTGCTCATTGACATGATACATCAAGTTTATGTATTTATTGCTCATTGGTATGGTGTACCTAATTTTTGTATTTACTTCTCGTTGGCATGATATACTAAGTTTATGCAAGATTTATGCATTTACTGAATTAGTAGCATTGCCTTGCCCCCAGGGTGTTTTTGCGCCCACCCCTCCCCAGTGTATATATGTGTGACTACGTCGATGTGCTTGTGAGTGTGTGCTTGAATGACTGTGGGAAATTGAGTCTTGGGTCGACCCTGTGGAGTTGGAAACATAGTCGGAACTGATTACTAAAAAAATTTTAATCCCACTACTGGTCATTATGATGAATGACTATAGGAATTTGGCTTAAGTGTTACCTCATATTTATGCCCCTGTGAAACAGGAAATTGTGGTTGAACAATTTCCTATTCCTAGTCCCCTTCAATGTACTAAAGAAAAAAATAATATCAGTGGGAATAAACTGCAAATATATATTTTTCAAGAGGTGCAAATAATTGGGACACACATATATTTAAGAAAGATTTTCTTTTTCTTTTTGGATAAACCTGTGTTGTGTTTGCACTTGTTTGATATCCATGAGAACAGAATATTTTTGTGTAATTTTTTAACAAAAGATCAAAAGGTTAAAGAATAAAGACAATTTTCTCACAGCCGTCTTTGCTCATATTTACTAAGGGTG